TAATCTGATAGAAATGTTTACTACATATTGCTCTATTATTTTATCAGTTTAGTTTTTTCTTTTTACTATTTAATTTATAATTTATAAAAATTTGAAGTCATATAATATTAGTGTGGTTTATAGGTAACCACTACTATACTAATTAAAATTGCTTAACACCCTTAAAAATAGTTAAAAAAAAAGATTTAATTAGCATTATTTTTTTTAGCAATAGTTATTCATACCCTTTACTATTATTATTCGTATCCTCTTGTAATAAAATTATCATGTGATTGAATATTTATTGTTTAATAAATTTTACTGCACTATTCAGAAAAAATATATGAAATAATGATTTATAAATTATTTTAAGACCAAGTCACAATAAATCTGGATTTTTTTTACATTTTATTATGCTTTGTTTTAACAATTTTTTTTAAAAAAAATTGTTATTTTTAAATATAAGATGCTTTTACCACCTCCTGCTATATACAATAGTGCAAATGAACTATTTCATAATGCTCAAACATTTGCAAATTCTCAAGGTTATGCATTAGTAAAAAAGAAAACATTATCTTATATCTGTCTCTTATACACATCTAGATGTGTATAAGAGACAGAGTTAGTACCATTATGTAAAATGTTGGTTTCTCCATATATATTATACCTACACCCATGAAAATTAATATACAAGTAGTTTCGACCTTGCTGAACAATTTTCAATTAATTTAGAAAGTCGATTTCATTTGACTAAAGTTGTAAAATTACGCTCTGAAGTTAATAAATAAAAAAACAATTTTGAAAGTTAGTACCATTATGAAAAATATGAGTTTTTTTATATGTATTATACCTACACTTATAAAAAATAATATACAAGTAGTTTTAGCTCTGTTGAACAACTTTTAATTAATAAAAGAAATTGATTTCATTTGACTAAAGTAGTAAAATTACACTCTAAAGTTATTAAATAAAAAATATAAAACTTTAGGAGTTAAACAGTTAGTAGTATTATAAAAACACAAATTTCTTTATAAATTTCATTTCTAATTTATGAAATTGAGTTGTATGGGTTTAATAGTATGTTTGGAAAAAAAGTTACAGTTTAAAAAAATTCATAAAAAAATTTTTATTTACGTATATGAAATTGTAAAACGTAATACAAACAAAATTAATATAAAACTTATAAAACTAAAATTATCATATTACTGATAAATTTCACCAAAGGTAAATTCACCACTGGTGAATATAAAATTAATCCATATTTATAATAGTTTTATAAATTTTTTTTAAAAAATATTATATTTTAATAAAAATTTATTTTTTAAGTAATTATTATAATTAAAAATCTATGGAAATTTATGAAAAATTCATAGAAATATTATGGAATATTGAATTTCAGCATTTTGTCTTTTAATTTTAAATGTCTAAACTATTTCAGTTTCATTAAATGACTAAATATTTCGCATCTCCAAATATAAGGTTATTTATTTATTAATTTTAAAAATATAACACTGGTAAAAAAATGATCTATCCTATATATATCTTACATATATCTTATATATATCAGGTACTCAAAATGTAGAAAATCTTACAATAATACACATATCATACATATATCAAGTACTTATATATATCATATACCTATCAAATATCTGATATGTGTATGATATATACAGTGGCTTCCAAAAGTAACTGACCAAACGTTTATTAAATGCAAAATCACATGTTTATTGGTCATATGATATTATATGAATACAATATTGATTTTATATATAATATACTCTAAGGTTGCTTGCCAAAACTAGGAGGTTTTGGCGAGATGGCGTATGCGAAACTGCCGAAACTAGTTTCGCAAAATTGGTCTAAAATGTTGAAATGCCGTAACTGCCAAAACCTGCCGAAACTGTCTCAGCTGCCGTAACTGTTTCGGTATAGTACATCATATGATATACATATAGTTTTGGCAACATTATGAATTATGATTAATTTCGGCATGGATTTTTTTTTTGACGCAATGCCGTATTCAGCCGTATTGAATTTATATAGACGTAATTGCCGAAATTTGCTGAATTTATCGAATTATCAATAATTTACACCAATCCGGTACAGGAAAGTTAGATTATCAGACAGATTGCATAGTACAAATCATCTGATGATCTCTTTTTTCTTGTATTGAGGTTTCCGGACAAAAATTATGAGGTAAAGAACTAAGGAGGATCCGGACAGGAAGTTTTTATTTAAAAAATGTAATAGTTTATTTTTCGTTTTGTAGGGTTGCCGGACGAAAAACATGACCGGACTTTGGAATTTAGGGGCTGAGGAAAGGTTTTTCGTTGTTTTATTATTTAATAAATTTAACTTATTTATTTTTTTCTTTTTTGTAGTGTTTCCGGATGAAAAACATGACCAGACTTTGGGATTTAGGTAAAGGAGGGGGCTGAGAAAGGTTTTTCGTTGTTTTTTTATTTAATAATTTAACTTATTTATTTTTTTCTTTTTTGTAGTGTTTTCGGACGAAAAACATGATTGGACTTTGGAAATGAGGTAAGGAAGGGTTGAGGGAAAGATTTTTCGTTGTTTTTTATTTTAATAAATTTAACTAATTTATTTTTTTCTTTTTTGTAGTGTTGCCGGACGAAAAA